GCTACAAAAAAAATATGTATTCGCTTCATTATTTATAAAAAGTGGTTAAATTTTAACCTAATTTCGGCCTAATTTCATCTAGCTAAAAACTAGTAACAAATAATATACAGCTTCCTGCTTGTAGGGAGGCCACACCATTCGCTGTTCGCATGTTTTTGAACTCACGCACCGAGTAGCTAACTGTTCGAATGAATAGCATTGAATTGTTAGTGAAACTTGTTGAAAAGTTTGCCAAAAGTTGTGCAAAGTCTGTTTGCCGGCATTTAATAGATTTCCCTTTTACGTGTACTTTTATATTGTTTTTGCTTTGGACCGTTGACAATATTTGCGCGCGAAATGTTTTCGCAAATATACCCGCATAAGTGAGGGAGCTGTTGCAATGTCGGAAAAGCTACAAATCAATAAAATAAAAATGTATGTGTATTCATCTAAATGCGTACATGACTCGTCCGCCAAAAAAAACTCCTTAATAAACCGGTTTTCCATACAGAATCAAGTAAGTGTACGAGGTGTACGTGGTAACGAGACATTTACGCGCTTAGATGAATTACCCTAGTATTTTACTTACATTGCCTTTACCGTAGATAGTTCTTTGTATTAGTTTAAAATATTTTATACTTATTTCTTTGAGAATTTTTCTTCTTTCCTTAAATAATTCAGTAAAATTTTTGTTTTTGTCATGCCAATATAATATTTTTTTACTCACCTCCCTACGGTTTCTATGGTATACTTATCTATGTATTAAGTATGTAGAAGTTTTAAGCAGCTATGCTTGTTTCTTTGTTGATTTGTTATGTGGGTACAATTCACTACGCATTTACATTTAAAAATATTAATTTATGCACATCGACACCTGTTGAGCATACATTTTATGCAATGCTGCGCAATTTGTATGCCTGTCCTTGCGTTTGGCTTGAAAGTGTAAAGCCATAACAATATTTGCTTTAATTAGCATTTCTATTGCCTTTAATGAGAACTTGGATAAGTTTTTTACATACTCATACATGAGGGAATATTTTATTTGGCGGCGTCTGATGAGGGTAGCAGATATATATAAAGCTTAGAATCCAGCTCTCAAGAAAAATCACAAGAGATATTTTTCATTATTTCTGTTGCTGAAAACGCACTTAGATTTTGTTGTTTTTTTTTTTAGAAAGAAATATGTGAGTTGCAAACTGATTTAGCAAACTTTAACAGATGAGAATTTTTTTTCCAACAACAGTGGAGAGATTGACACACTTCTTTAGGAGACTCGGTCAAAACTTTTAGAGAGTTGTGGGAGTGGTAGCTCGAATGCCTTTATCTTTTACTTGCAATGCAAACGGGTTTTAATCATTGGTATTTGTTTCTTGTTTCACCTAAACTAGTGTCGTGGATAACAGTTAGGTGGCACTAAAATCAAGGGAGAGTGTTCGTACCTCTTCGAAAATACTTTACAGAATATAAGTTCGGGCTCAACTCTTTTCCAAACTGTAAAAAGTTTGAATTCATGTGGATACGAGGTCAATGGCGTTCTCAAGATAACAAATAAGCTGTCGAATTGGTGAACTGTGGGTCATTTGACCGAGTATCTACTTGAAAACTCTATCCAGCCTACAAGAAATTCAACCGATTTAGTCCAAAATTTCCATAGTGGAGCCAAAGAATTTTGTAGTTAATTTTGATCAAATTTTTCACAAAAAAATTAATATTCCAAAGTCAAAAAAAAAATGAATTCTTTACTAATTTTGAAATTGCTTCTAAAATCTAAAAAACCTAAAACTCATGTAGTTAAAATAGTAAAAAATGCGACTTCTCTCTCTCTTTCTGTTAAGGACAGTTTGCGGATATTAGCAGGAAAAATTCAGAAAGGTTTAAGACTAAACATAGAAAACAAATAAAATCTAAGCAAAAGGCGAAGTTAACAGCTATTAGTTCCAAAATGATTCGTATTTTAAAACAATTCTTAAATTTGTAAAACAATTAGTTCCACAGAAAGCTGGACCTTTCGTGGAAATATGGTGATCCACTTCACAAGTTTTTACTCAATACTTTTAATGCTTAATCAAAGGCGTTCTTTAAGAAGATATGCATCATTATGTCACCTATAGGCATTGAAGAAAGTAAAACACAGGTGCATACATATATAGTATGTATGTACATAAAGGAGGGGATTAGAAAAAGTAACTCAACCAAGTATTCCGATAATGCTTTTCTAACATTCAAAATGATTTTCAAGCTAAAATTTTCTGTGTTGTTTTTTATAAAAATTCTGTTCTTGCTTTCAAAACCAATAAATCGAAATTTCAGAATTTATACAAAATTTAGAAAACTGCAAAAAAAATGTTTTATTAATTGCATAATGTTATATGTATAAATATTTAAACTTCGATTTATGTGGTTTCTTTTAAAGCACGAACAATATTGATTGAGTTACTGTATTATATTAATGGTGAACTGCAGGCTAATATTTAAGATCTATTAAAAAGTATGTACAAATATTACCCAAGTAATTAAATATTAGCACATCTATCACACTCTATACTTTATAAACCTCCACAAGTCACTGGAAATTCCGAAACATTGCATTGCACTTGCGTGCAACGAACACATTTTTCAACACGCAGACAAACACAACAACTAATATTAAAATCGCTACACATTCTATGGTAAAACGGCTATAAACGGAGATAAATATCTGACAAAATGCACGAGAATTTGCCCTCGTCGGAGTTGGCAGCAAGGACTCGCCACTACTACTAAATACGACTACTAAATACGAGTAATTGCCCGCCTAATCAAGCGTGTTGAAGCACACAGAATGAGGAGTTAAGTTGAGAAAAAGTTACACCCATTGCTCCTTGATGCCTGTACTGACTTGCGTGCCTTACGACCATTTACTAAGTAAATACTAATGTATGCAGACGCTTAAGGCTAAGATCGGGTGGACAAGAACATTGAAGAACGTTGCCTTGCTAGTTTAGCAATGAAAAGGCCAAGAGTTTTGCACATTTGCAACTATTAAAATGTAGTTACATTACAAGCAGAGCGTTGGTGAGAAAATTGCAACAAAGGAGTTTAACGTTTATATGATTAGTACTTACTTAAGGCAAATTAGTTGGACTTAAATTACATAAACTCAGTGCTCAGACGTTGAAGGTGATTTAGGCAATGACCTAGTAATTGTTTGGGCCGAAAGCGATTGTAGTAAGGAACATCGTGGAAGAACTTTGTTGCACAACTGCCAAAGGCGATAATAAATAGAACTGATAGTTGCCTAAACTGGGTCAATTGAAAAGTTTTTATTACAACTTTTTAAACCTTATGCTACATACATGAATATGCCCCAGAGTAACATTTTAAAGTTTGGTGGCATATTTAATTTTTCAAAGGACGCAAAACTTTTTGAAAAAATTTAATTTTTTTGATAAATTCAGGTATATTTTTTATAAGAGAAAATAGGGAGAATCGCTTGAAAGACTTATTATGATTGCTTTCTTTACTTCTCACCAACCCTAATTAAAAGTATATCGGTTCAAAAGTTGAAATGTACCCGAGAAAATAAGAGAAGTCTGGAATAATCTCGAAAACGAAATTCCGAAAAATTGCCGGGGGCCCCCAGTAGAGATGGGCGCGAGATATCGGGACCTGCGGGAGCCACGGTACTGGTTTCCAATCTGTCGGGATGAGCGATATCGGGAAGGTCTGTAAAAATTAAGCGGGCGACCAAGACCAAAATCCTTTCCCGACACTCTCGCTGAAACCGCAATTTCCCTAAATTCAGAAAATCTTCCTTAAAAACGTTGTATGAAATATGCACTGTTTATGTTTTATTGAGACGAAAACGAACAGCAAAGTTAAACAAAATAATCGGAAGATGCCAGATCTTTCATTATTTTATTTTCTTTTTTTAATTAATTTGAACGGCATGTGAATTTTTCTTAGTGATAGATTTTGGGACCCGCGGTACACTTCCAAAACATTAAAAATGTTGGAATCGTGATGAAATATTTAATCCCGTTCACATCTTTAGTCCCCAGTGATCCCTTAAAAGGCCCTGAAAACCATTTTTTTGCTAAAAATATTATGAGTAAAAGTTTTTCAAGTAAAGAGTGTTATTAATTTTTAAGCAACGAACACATTAAGACTTAAACCATTAGACATTGAAATTTCCAAAAATAATTTCGAAAACTCCTGACAAGTCCTGAATGTGTTGCACATTCGTAAGAAACATCTCTCAAGCTATCGAAAATCTTCCTAAAAATACTTAAAATATCCCGAAAAAATTTCTATCAGTCTAAATTTTTTTCAATTGATGTCCAGTGGAAATTCGGCATTATGGCTCGACACCCTTTTAAAAGTAGGGCAAAAATTCTGTCACTGTTTTCTTTAAACTTTTGGTCACATACTCTACTCTGGTGATGACTGCTGATTTTTATTATTGCAAAGCTAAAAAACAAAAGCTTATGCTGGATTTCCACTGTGATTTAAATGAAACAAATTTACTTACAAAGCTCGATATTAAAAAATACCGGCCTCACAACTAATGCTGTTGTGGTTTCTACAAAAATTGTTACCATCTCATCGCCCTCTTCTTAGTGTTGGTGCGTAGAGAGCAAAGAGAAGGTTGCATTTTTCGGTAGAAACCGAAATCGGAATAATATAAAAATAGTTATAAAGTTCGTTTCTACGTGGCATTTTTTGAATGGCACACATTTTCCATCATTTCTAGGCCTAGTGGAAATCCGACATTAAAGAAAAGTCCTACATTACTAAAAATAAAACGATATGTGCTGGTATTTTGTAAGATAAAGTTTAGAAGTGCAAAAATGTTTATCAATCACTCCCAAATACCTATCTAAATAATTAACAGCCTTAATGTTCAATTAAGCCATAAAGCCACCCAAGTAGACAAACTCAAGCGACCATTAGCAAATGACTAGTAATAAAATTTACCAAAACACTCGACCAACACTAATCATTTACTTATTCATTTCATCGTACTTATCTTGTCATTGCAGTTATGGTTCACCGCATCATAGCCGCTCACAGTCGGTAAAAACACCAGGCAGCCGTGCGTCAGGACGCCCCAATCAGCTATGTCTGCCACAACAACGTTCACGGTAAGTTAAACACTGTTGTCTCGACAATTGTCATCGACATCGTCATTGTTTGTTTATGTGTACAGTGGAAAATTTACATTTTTTCGTCATTTTATTGACATACTTTAGTCAGGCGGCGTTTATATTTATTTACATTTTTTACCTTGCCTTATACTTATCACCAACAGCGTCGCTTCAATGCCAAATACCGGCGTCGAGGAGGAGTACTATAGACTGAGACATTTTTCCATCACAGGCAAAGGTGTTGTTAATCGTGGAGATTCTTTGAAGAGTCGACGCAGTCGTTCGAACAACAGTGTGGCGAGCTCAAATTCTAGGTAAGCAGCATTTTTCTGGTTTTTTTTTTTTTTTTGCATTTGATGGATGAGACATATTAGCAATAAGGTTTTGGTACATAAAAACGGACGGAGGGTATGATGTGGCATCTGCTATTACTGAACTGTGCTTGAAGCAAATTTGTTGTTATTTTTCGGTCGCGACACTACACTTTGCATCGCAAAATATAAACATTACGCAGTTAATTTAGTTGTTTTCGATGATCATCATTGATTAGTTTTTTCTTTTTGTTTTTATTCCTCTACAATTCTTCTTTGGCGTGCACAGCACGGAGCACTTGACTGCCGCACAATTACCAGCCCCAAATTCGGCTCGCACATCAGCCACCTGCAGTTTGGCGTCCAGCCGTGAGAGCAGCACATCAAATCCAGGCAGTGGACCATACAGGTGAGTTCTTTTATCTTTATTTTTATTATATATAATTTTTTTTTTTTGCTTTTAAATAGAAGTGGTACTTAAACATACTACACCGTTATTAAAGTAAATATGTACAGGTGCTGCTGCTAGTCTTTAAGTATGTGCGAACAAATTTACTTAAAGGCGATTCAGAGAGATTTTCTTAATTTGTTGTATGAATACTCGTATTAGAGGCACGTATGGAATGTAAGGCTTTTCATACAACCTAGGTATCAATTCGATAGTTTAGGTGAGGAAAACATCAATTTTCAGCTCTTTGATAATGCCGCTATGCTTATATATTTTCTACGCACTGGACATTTGGCCGACTCAGCGAAAACTATACAGAAACCGGTTTTATCGAAAGAACTCTATTAGTCCAAAGTTTGGGTATCATCCAATGACTCGAAAACGATAAATAGTAGCAATATCAGGGGCTTCGATCCCAATGGTAGGAATTATGATACCCATCTAAAGATTTAGTTTTGATTGTTTTCTCAACGCTCGGCAGGCAATAACAAGCCTCCGAGTGTATTTCTTTGTACCATTAAAAGCTTTTCATAAAAACCAACTGTCAGAAGCGACTTAAAACTGTAGGTGCCTCCATTTTAATGAAGAGGTGCCTTCCATGTTAGGCCAAAAGAAGTAGTTATACGGGTTATCACCAATAGCTAATGCAGCAATGTTTGCAATTAATTAAGATCCCGAGAGTACATTGAGGCGCACGAATCTTACAGCTAACCTGCTTGGATTTTGGGGCTTACATTTTATTCAGAAGGCTGACTGAGTGACTGACAGTAAATGGTGTCGCGCCAAGACAGAAACTGGCAACTGGCCCAAATCTACTTTCAGAAGAAACACCTGACGTTAGTACCGTGAAGATCGTAGTTGGGTCTAAGTCTCACATTGGCGGGTTTGAGAGTTTCGTCCTCATAAAAAAAGCCTCTAAAGCTTTCTGCATATTCCCGATGGCTCGTCAATGCACATATGTATCCAATATACACCTCCTGCATTACTCACATAACTATATGTATATATGTAGGTATATGGACAATTTTTCAATAACGTCATCGATGACACTATCGATAAATATATTGGAAATAAAAGGTTGACGCTAACGGTAAATGCACCGTTTATAATGTCGATAAATGTTAAAAGGATGATGTCGACATACATACGTATTTATCGAAAATTACTTATGTATATCGATAAGTTTTCCGATAACGGTACTCTTAAACATTGACGTGTAGTCAATTATGCAGATCAAAAAATATATATTCGATTTTTACGAAACTGGATATTCTATCATTATAAATAAACTATATGTCGAAAAATGGGCGATTTTAGTAATTAATGTTATTGAAACTCGGGAAAAATAAAATATCCATAAATGTTGAAGGGGCGATATCGATACATTTGTTGACAGTTATAACGAATGGGAACTCAACGCAATGAAAAAATTCAAAAAACTGATTTTTTTTTATCAAATTTGCCTTTTGCAAGAATAACAATTTACGGTTTAATGAAATACCTACTGTAAGGTCTTTAGTTATGTAGATGAAAATACTTTTTTAGTTTTATCATGCCCTTAGACTCACTTTATTTCATATCTATAGGTAAACTATTTGTTTTTATCTCAGCAACATGTAAGGATTTTTTTTTTAGAAAATAATTAAGGCATTTTATTCTTATAAGACATTCGAAAATTCCGAAATTTATTTTGATTGACCCGCTTATTTTATAAGACAGAAAAACTTTACCAAAAGCCCTTACAAATTATGTTTACAAAAAATATTCAAACGTTTTTTAGAAGTTTATGATTTTACCTCTATGTAGTTATAACTAACAATGTCAGATAAACAAAATATGAGACTTAAATATTATAAACTTCAACATAACTTTCAATATTTTCTCTCTTTGTCGCGCACAGAGTCCTGATGCTCGGCGGCCCAGCAGTGGGCAAAAGCTCTTTGGTCTCTCAATTTATGACTTCAGAGTATTTACATGCCTACGATACAAGTATTGGTGAGTACACAAATCAATTTGCATTAGAATGGCATCTAGGAAATAGGATATACATAAAAATCTCGCGAAAAAACTTAGTTAAATACTAAACAATAAAGCATTAAAAACAAAATTTAAAATTCTTCCCTTTCCCTTTTAAATGTATCCATCCGCGCATTTGTTGTTGTTTTTTTTTTGTACACGCTGCTTACGTAAAATTTTTCACTCAAATTCGAAACAACTTTATGATTTAACTAACTTTCGCTTCGTTTGCTGTTATTTAATTAGATTTCAGTCCACTTTATTTGCCGGCGCTTTTAGTATTCATTTAGTGTTCATTTCCCTATGTGTAATTGTCTCTGCTTCTCTCTGTCTGTGTCTGTCCGCTTTTACTGTCTCTTTATCAATTGATTGGTTTTAATTTTCATTTGAAAAGTCGACATACATACATACATACTCATTCTAAATTTTATGTGTGTGTGTGTGTGTGTGTACGAGTAAGTCTAAGTACGTTTGTCCATCGGAATCTATCATTGAGACTTCTTTCAGCGCTCATAGCCTCAATCAATATCATTAAAGTCATTTCACAATCAGCAGAGTAATCAAAACCGCTTAACCACTCTATACTTACTACATACAGTCAAAGTCATCAGCTTCACTTCTACCGCCTCACTTTCATCATACTTTACTTTCAACCGCACTATCGACCGTCCGACATTACACGCTGTGTCCTCAGTTCTTTCTTTTTTCATTCACTCTTTTGTGTTTCGTATGTACATATTCCTAGCTAGGTGGACCCATCATGCCTTCATTAAAATTTAATTCAATTTTCAAGTTTAGTGCTTTTGCGGATTCACGCTTTTAAATTTGCTTACGCTCGTACTTTGCTAAATTTTTAATAATTTTTTTTTTTCATAATTGATTTTTATTGAATTTTGCTGCTTTCAGCTTTAATTTTATCCTTAGTTTATTTTTTGTGTTTTGCTGTTCATGTTTCTACTTCAAAGCACACGCCTGTGGAACCATAAAAATTTCCGAAATTTATTTCCATGGCAGTTATGCAACATGCCACTGGCTATGCAATTTTTCAATATTATTTGATTTTACACGCTCAGGTTTGGATAGAGCTGTTTTCGCTGCAACAAAAGTTACCACTACAAATGCATATGCATTAGGGTGGCCCAAAAATGCATGTGAAAAAGTTAAGTCGGAATTGCAATGCTCTCCCCCCCTAATATTATTCTATATCGAAAAAATATACCTTTATTTTTTTGTTTTGAAATCAAATAATATTAAGAGGTCGCTCAAAGCGCTCAAAGATTTCCATGTAATTTATATTGAGGGAAAAAATGCTTTTCGTAGAAATGGCATAGAATTCTTAAAAATGAATATTTTTCTATCGGAAAACTATGTTTATCTGCAAGAGATTCCCATTAATAATACCCAATTGTTTATTTAACCATTTTTTCATCGCAACTATAATTTATAGGTCCGCCAAAAACCCACAAAAACCCCGATAATTGCCAATAAAATCAATAAAAAATCCTTAGTATTGAAAAATGGTTAAATAAACAATTGTGTGTTAATATTGAAAGTCTCCTGAAGAGAACCAGAGCTTTCCGATCGAAAAATATTGGTTTTAAAGAATTCTAAACCATTTCTACGAAAAGTTGTTTTTCTCCCATATAAAAATATTTGGAAAGCTTTGAGCGCTTTGAGCGACCTCTAGATATTTCTTGATTTCAAAATAAAAAATAGCGGTATACTTTTTTCAATATAGAACAATCCTAGGGAGTGAGAGCATTACAATTCCGATTTTACTGTTTTTGGACCACCCCAATATGCATACTGCACATGTGGAAATTCATGATGCACTCAAAGGCACTTGGCGAACAAAAAAATAACTGAAGCGGGTTTTTATTTGAGCTATAGCTTTTCAGAAGTTAGGCGAATACTGTTTTGAGTCTGAAAATGAAGTGATGAAAGAAACATTGCAGAGCTACAAATCAGCGCCGTTTTTAGAGTTCCGGAGGTTCTAGAGGCTCACTAATGCACTCAAAATACATACATATTTCTGTGGAAGGAAGGCATTCGTTTACGTAGAGTTTCATACGTTAACTCACTTCCGAAGCTTAGCAGCATTAAAAGTATGATGCTCAGATAGTTTAAGTGAAGTTAGATTGAGGAGGCTACCACTTATATAATTACGGGATGGTGCTTAGTGATACCACGAAAAAACTGAACGTAGAATTTCCAGTGCGACTAATTCCAACGCCTGAGAGCTCGCGTAGTTAGCCAAGAAGTGCGAGTCAAATGTTTCCATTTTTGAATGGAGCATTGTGTCTTCAGCATCTTAAAAGGTTTATTTGGTAATTTTCCGTAAAAGTTTGACCCAATAGCCATTAAAGCCGTTTGGACTGGAATGCTTGCCATAAATTAATATACAATTTTTGTAGTTGGAAATATTAACTTAAAGTGCCCAGTTGCTGTTCAAAGTTCTAACTAGAGTGGCGACTACGCAAAAAAACATTAAAAAATTATTTTTCATTGAATCGTTTCTCACTTTGCTTATTTTCGCACATTGAATTCTTCCTAACTCTCATGCAATCCATCATCGCGCTCGCTAACACCGCTAACTGCCTCAAAACGTTATTATTTTCATGCGCAATAACCTACAGATGGCTTGACATAAAAATTTACCTACTCGTGTACGTACGCGTTCTATGCCAGACGTTGCACTAAAATTGCTGGAAAACAGCTGAAACCAACAGTTAGTCAGCGATTCATTGTTTGTTGGCTGTAGCGACTTCATGTCCGTTGTGTCAGTCAATGCTGTGCGTCTGGTGAACTTTCACAAGCAGAATTATAAACAAGCCTTAATAACTCACCATGTTCACTAAATAATTTGTTTATATTCTACTATGCGTGTGTACATATGTCTTATATTAGTTGTAATTTGTTTATACTTTTCTGTTTTAGTTTTATTTTTTATTTTTGTTGTTGCTTCAAAGCAATCTGTTCTACTTAAATTTATGTTGCGCGAATCATTCAAATTCAAGTAAACTAAGTGAATTCTCCGTAATTTTGCTAATCCACATTTATTTAGCGAAATTTTTAATATAATTTTGCGTTTGCTTCGAGCTTTCAAATTGATTTGAAATTTTCACTCACCATTTGAATAAGAAGAAATCTGGTGAACAATTGTACTACCAAATAATTAGATATCAAAAATTTGCTAAATTTACATAGACATATAACTACGTAAAAACATACATAAATTACGTAAATTTCCATTTCTTCTTCACAATTGCGTATTTACAAATTCTTCTTCTACTTATTTTTTCGTTTTCTTCTTTTATTTCAACAAAACTGCGTATCTGTCAACACAAATACAAAAAAATTGGTTCGCCATTTGATACAAAACGCAAAAAATAAATCTATTTCAATTTTCATGTGAACTTCCGAATCAACTATATAATAAAATAAAAAACATGCATCCGAATAAAAAAAAAATTGAAAAATAACTGTAAAATAAACGTTGCATGTAAAAAATAATATTAAAAATAATCATTTAAATCGAATCTGAAAAAAATTTGATAAATCTAACCCAATCATAAAACGTAAAACAAAAAAAAATAATATTTCTTTTCTTTAATTCGAAAAAAATATAACTAAACTACTTATTTGAAAATAAATTTAAAAACACATAAAAAATGCACCTAAAAATGTATATTTCAATGTTTTTAAAAATTAAAAAAAAATACATGACGTAAAATTTTTTTTATAAATTTGTAAATAAAAAATAATATTTTTTATAAATAAAATAATATTTCAACTAAAACATATAAACGACGCAAAAAAAAATTACATAAAAATTTCATTTAATTTTAACATTTATTACTTTAATTAATTATTTGAATACTACTAAAAATTCATTTTAAAATCATAAAAAAAATATGAAAATTATTAATGTAAATCAAAAAAATTTAAATTAATTGACAAATCAATAAACGATATCCAAACAAAATCTAATCACATATCAAATATTTATTTTATAAATGAAAAAATTAACTATAAACATAAACAAACAAAAATAATATAAATCAAAAACTCATCAAAATTTCAAAACAAAATTGGTTTTGTAAAAATGTATTAAAATTGTTTTACATCGTCATATACTATATCTACTATTTAAAAAATTTAATTTTGAAATAAAAAAAACGTAAACTTTTCCAAAAAAAAATACTTAACCACTAAATAAATACTAAAACGGTAAAAACTATTAATCCTAAAACTGATATTCATTTCAAAAATTACCCAAAAAATTTAATTGAAAAATTAAAAAAACTTTTGGACAAATTAACTAATTTTTAAAATAAAATAAAAAAATAATACACAAAAACTATATTACGAAATATTTAAAAAAATCAATAAAACATATTAAAACAAAAACTGGCAACTAAAATATGAAAATAATAAATTAAAACTTGCCCCATGTAAACAAATTTATAAAACAAAAATAAAAAATCAACTCTCTTATTAAATTACAATATTTACAAATGTATACAGATTTAAATCAGCCACCATTTTCCGCAACTCTAGCAGGCCAATGCGAAATACGTATAGAAATCGAAAAACCCGCTGACGGTAAAGCAATTTACGCTTAACAAAATTTGCATATTAACATATATTTTCTCTTTAACATTTCAAGTAAAATTTTCAATATTCGCTTAATCTGATCAGAGCTAAAATTTCATTATTCAAACAAATTTTGCTATACGAGTATTTTAAATTTTGAATTTTCATATTTGCTACTGTTGTTTGAAAACTAAATAAATGCACACCAAACCAACGACACATGCACACACTTAGTGCAACTATCCAAATCAGAGCACTCACACAGCCAAACACAGAAACCCGCAAGCAAACATCCGTCCGCCCACAGTTACGCGCAGTTAGCAAGCAAATTAAAGACGCACTGAAAATGCACAAAAACACACACAAACACATACACACACACGCATACGCACAGGTAAAATGGTTATCCAAAACAAGAAGCACAACTTTCTTTTTAAGTGGCCTCCATTGAACCGTTACTTACAAAGTACTATGAAGTCCTCTTATGACACCTGTCTCCTTTACCACGCACACGCACACACTCGCACACAGCATACGAATGTCCGTCCTGCAAAACTTTTCTGCCACACAAATCTGCAGAGGTGTGTTTGCTACCATCCAAATAAATATACATATGTATGTACATACATACATGCATGTGTATATTTGTCTAGTTTTGCTATTGCCACACATGCATATACTACTTCTGCTGTGATAGTTTCTCACAAGATTTACTTATTCCTTTAGAAATGTAATGATAACTTCGAATGCCAAACTTACGCACTGAAATTTGTCAGCCATTTAGTCTTCAAAGTTCCTTTTGCTCGCCTCGTTCTCCCCTCCTTTGCAAGTACATTTGTATGCATACGTTAATAACTTTCTTCATTTGATAAGTAAGTACATAACCCCACTTTAACTTATTTGCAACGAAACTCATTCAAAATAATATGCCCACACTCAGTTTGCTGTTACAACTTGTATTTAATTTCATCCTCCCTGCCGCATTGCCAGCTTAACTAATTAAAAACAGAAAACTGTTTTGCTTATCTTCATTAGAAGAGACGCTCAAAACAACTTTCCCCCTGATAAGTAGTGTAAATCATTTGCACAAATGCTCACTTGCATTTGCAACCCTTTTCAGGCAGGATATTTACTTAAATCCTTCTACGTAGAAATTAAAAATACCTACACACGTACGCTTCCGTGCGCATATGTGTAATCATGTATGTAGTACATATGTATGTTTTTTGCACAAGGATGTGAATGTACATATCGTACCTTAAATTAAAAACCGTCACAACTTAAATTTTTTTATTTTTTTGCATAAAACCGTGCCAGACCATATGGCTATGGTCCGCCAAAAATTTCTGCTTCATCACCATCTTCTTTAAATGGAAAAATACTAGTATTAAGGACCGGTTGTTCAATGTCTGGTTATCACCACCTCCCAGTTAAACATCATTATCGACGATTTTGACGTCATGCATATAACAAGTGATCGACAAAGCAGTCGTTGCATTTAAACGGAGCTTCTACCTGCGATTTATATTAACCGAACATTGAACAACCGACCCAAAGAGACTGGTTTAGTAACTATAACCAAATCATGTGTTGAGAGAAATATATTTAGCTGACTTTTTTCTGAGTCTACCAGGATTCCATGATTTTATAGCATAGTATGATGTGTTCGTTCTTCAGCTCCGGAATCATAAAGGGCTCATTGGCATAGACCATACTTTCCGCGTAGTCCCAGAGAAAGAAATCCAATTGTGTCAAATCCCAAGATTCGTTGGCCCTTTGCCGTCGGTGTTTCGTCAGATAATGCATCCTGGGAACTCGATTCGCAATAGGGCCACTGTTTCGTGCGCTGTGTGGCAAGTGGCATAGTCCTCTTAAAACCACATCTTGACCAAGTCCGTATCATTTAATTCAGACTATACAGATACCCCGGAGTCACCCTAAATGTATGAAATATCTTACCAAAACTTTAAAGCCACTTTTCATGAATTTTCTGATTTTCCGAAATGTTAAGTTTTTCCAGGAAATTAGCGATGCGAATGTACATATTTCTGCATCAAATATATTGCCTCCCAACGCCCCCCGCCACCCAACTACATACATACACTCATATGTTGGTCATTATTTTTCTCCATCCATTTTCCAAATTTAATTCGTACTTTGCTCTAAATGACTTGAAAGTTTGCTGCTGTTGCGACCATAATTGAATTTTGCCACTTTCACTTAAAAAGATCCTGTATAATCTCCGTTTTTGCGGTTTCTTTGTATTTTGCTTATTTTTCCTCTTCTATTTTTGCTATGCGGTTTTTTTGTGGTTTTTTGTTCTATAAAGTGGCAAGTTTTCATGACCAATGCACGAGTAAAAAAAAAATTACTTGTCAATAGAAGACATCCTTCCGCATAAATTGTGTTGGTGGGAGAAATTTCAGACATACCAAATTTCGTAACTGTTACTAGAAAAAGATTTCCATCACCTTAATTTAAACCAGACAAAGTGGAGGGAAGCGATGTTAAGAATGTGTTTATTCCACTTTTAAGGTCTTTGACTTTGTGATGAACCTCCGTAATAATAGTCGGGGACTAGAAATGTAGGAGTGCTATAACATGTTCTCAAGCATGTCAAGCCAAATAGTCAATTATCTCTTTAACTGGCACTCCCGATTGATTTAGCGCACAGAGTAAAACAAGTTCGTTATGTATGTTTTCCAACATAATTTAGTCGAGATTTGCATTGCCGAACTAGTTTGGATGTAGTTAGGATGCTGGCCAATGCATTGTGCGCAGCTTCTTGGCTATAACTACAGACCCGTATGTAAAAGGAGATTTCAAACCAATGGTGAATTTGTGCGTAGGGTATAACAAATAGTTCCCAAATAAAATTGGGATCTTTACGATATGCACAAAACATGGTTTCCCACTTCACTCAACCATGAGTCTGTTATGGGTATTAGTTTTTTTTATGATTACAATAAATATTTATATATTTTCTTTATTTCTCCATTGAACAGTTTGTGGCATTTTTATAGAATTTTCACTTTTTAATACTTTTCATTCACTTTTACATTCATTCTAACCGTAAGTCTCATTGTTTTGATTATTGTTATCATTACCGTTAATTTTTATCTTACTGCAATCGTTATCCCCTTTTCGGCAATTTCATTAAACACTTCATTGATTTCCGAAGCTGATTACGGATGCGAATAATTGTAGTTCGGTTGGTGGCATTCTTGTAGATAAATAAATATTTACGTATTTACCCTTTTGTTAGGAATACAATTTTAATGCCCTAAAGTAGCCTTTTTCACAAAACATTTTCTCTTTCTTATCTAAAACGAAAATTGGTCTTGAATGTAAATAATTATTATTTTAGTTAGTTTTTTGACACCTTTTTTGCACCCATTTTACAAGGCAACTCTAGCAATAATAGTTAAGCTCTTAGTGCTGCTCATTATGTGGCCTCGGCCTAAGGCAAAAACGTTTGAAACAACGGTACGTTTTTGATATTAGTCACCAGTGTTCCGTTGCTGCCACATTGTTGCCTGTTGTTTCCAAAATTCCTGAGCTGAGCAATTGGTTTTTCTTAAAACTTCAGACTTTTTACTTAAATTTATTTGAATAAATCGAGTAAAAAGTGCGAAATTTTAAGAAAAATCAATGCTTATTTTTTATTTGTACGGCCCAATATCATTGAATTCGCTTAATTTAAATACTTTTCCAACGTAACAACAGATTTATTAAATTATTCCTGGAAAATATAAAAAAATGTTGCAATGAAAGGTAATAAAATATTGTACAGAGTTAAATACAATTACTTCCATATGTACATATGTACATACACAGTAATTCTATATAGAAGGTTTCAAAGTTGCGTATACGCCTAGGAGTATTTCGTTTGAAACAAAATATGCACAGCAAACAAATCGAGGAAAATACGTACATATGTTTGCATATTAAATTATAATTATGTATTTATGACAGTTAAATAGAACATTTCACTCGAATTTCAGTTGAAATTTGAAACGTGCCACTTATATTACCGACGCCGCCTCTAACACTTGATAGCATACCTACCCATGAAAATACCCTTACTACGTTTCCATAGCCATAACTACAGCTCGCAAATATACAAATGTACATGTACATACATATAACCAAAAAATAGCTATAACAGCGCATATTTAGTACGTTTACATTGCATCTAAATATATACATCATCAACCCTACAAAATTTCAGCTCTTTCACCAAACTATCAAGCTGCCCATAATTAGTTCAAAACCAAAAGAGAAGCATACTCGCATACATATCCACATAGCCATCGACTATTTAACGAACTTAAAATGCATGCATACATATTTACTCTTTATCTAATCATCTGTGTTTCATACAATTATTTTTTGCTTGTTTTGTGGCATGAATCAGAAATTCCCCAACTTTCGTTCCTTATTCGCCATATGCATAGTTGTGTAGTAGAGATTCGCATTTATTCTCAGTACAAGTTTTAACGTTTTCAAGTTTTAAAATTCTATACAATTTTATACAAAGTGAATACTTAATATATAATTATTTTTTTTACAAAATTAAATTTTCCACAGATGATGAATCTGGCGAAAAATCTGTCTCAGTATTGTTAAGTGGCGAGGAGTCCGAACTGATTTTCATCGATCACGCTTACACAGAAATGAATGTAAGTATAATACAACACACATACATACTACTAATAAAGAATATGAATAATAGAATGGTGGCAACCCTCGATATAAATTTTAGCAAATTAATTGTGAACCCCCCCTTTCTGCATACTTATATTGCTGCATTCTATGAAACTAACTGGTTTTCCTTATTTGAATTCCTTATATAGGTGGCAACTCTATGGTAAAATATACAAACCTACATACTGTTATTAAAGCTTTCTTTTGAGATTGCACAGTTTTTTTTATAAGCTTCAAAAATAAAAATATGTTCTAGAAAACTATTCCTCAACGCTTTGCCGTTTACATGTGAGCGAAGAGCATTAAGGGAAAAGCACTTTAGTATAGTTTCAATATTTCGACGCTCCTAATTTATGGATGCCAGAAAACTTTAAGCAATGTGAATTTTAAAATTATCCGACTACTTTTAATTGACGCTCACCGTGTGGCCAAAAGAACAAATAAACTCATCAAAAACCAGGCACAGCCGGATGAAATGAAAATGACGGTCACATCCTTTGGCCACTTGATGATGATGATGATGGCTTCACGCACTTAAGCAGTGCAAACAAAAGGGCAAAACACACACACACACACATACATACACAATGTATCTCAAACCACACCACAGCTGGTCGGTCTCATATGCCCTGCAGTGTCTGTCCTTTTAATTCTGTTTGTATGTATGTACATATGTATGTATGTAGGTGTGCGCCTGTGGCTTTCCGGCTGCTTTAACCAACCACACGTCATGCATTTCATTTGAGTGCGTAGTTAACTTCAAACATCGCAGCTGAATTGAATTGTCAGCAAAGCTGCCACTGCTCTTGACCTTTATTCCACACAAAAAGTGCTGATAAGCAAGCGTATGAGATTTAGACATACCATACATGTATGTATATTTGCTTATTGTGGCCTTATTTGGATTTAAATTTGCTTAAAACCATTGAAGCGCATAAGCATTCCCGCCGGGTTTTATGGCGAACACTTTGTTGTCCTTTTAATATATTTTTATCTTATGCTGAATATAAAGAGCTTCTAAACATATATTGTATATATGTATGTATGTGCATAAATATAAATACATAAATCAATTTTCTATGGTCAATTAATTCTATTTCTACTCCTTCTCTATTTTCATGCCTCGCTTTTACTTGGTTTCTTGTAAATGGATTTCGTTTTTGTTTGTCTTGCTGCCTTCAATAGCCTGATGATTGCCTATCCAGTTATGATCCGCACGGTTATTGCGTCATTTATTCAGCTGCCGACCGCAGCAGTTTCACTGTGGCCGAACATGTATTGCAGGTGCTGTGGACAAATCAAAATATCGCGCAAAAGGCTGTCATATTAGTGGCGAATAAGGCCGATTTGGCGAGAAGTCGACTGGTGACATCCGATGGTGAGTAGAGAAATATGAATTTGACAAAAAAAAACTTTTTTTTTTAAATAAACTCATTAAAATGGCATTGTTGAGAGAATGTAGGCTTCAAAAATATCTTAGATATCTATTTAAAGAGTTTTATTCAAAAATTGTGAAACCTATTGCGTGGCACCTCAAACAGTCTTCACTGCACTACTTCCATTTGCATATAAGTAAAAATGATTGCATCCGATTATTTAAGTATTTCCTAAAGCCTCTTTACCTAAGTACTTAATCCCGCAACTTCGATCAACTGCGCATTTACAAGTGTATAAATCGTTAAATTCGTATGATTGATTTTGTTTTATGTTTTTTTTTTCATACTAAATACATAACTGCGCTGTACTGTTTGCCTTCGAAAAGTGGCATAAATGTGATGGAAAAAGCAGTTGCGCAATAAACTGCGCAATTTTGAGCTAAATCACCTAAGATTAAGCTTTTTATTTTCTCTTTTGTGCTTTCTTTCTGTTTTGATTTTATATCTGAATAATAACTTTATGCGCTGTGGTAATTTATATTCTTATTCATCTTCTTTTTCCACATTTTCGTTAGGCCTATGGCTTTGTATACTTATTTGTATTTATTTTAGTTATATTTTCGTTTGTTATTTCCATTCATCTAATGCCACGAGTAGCATCATATCGCGGGCTTAATAATATAGAGAGGTAATTCAAAACTTACGTTTTTGAGATTTCATCATACAATTAATAAGCTTGATAAGAATTATTAAACTCCCCAAAAATGGCGAAAAGCCATATCTTCAGCCAACTTGCCTCAACAGCGCTCGACGTTGACGATAACACTTTCACCATTAGCATTTTTAAAGAAGTAAGGCTCTTCTACCTATTGTCATATACATTAAGCCAAATAGGAGCCTCGTCACTCAATACAATATTTCTATAAGAAACATTGGGTTGACTTAAAGATGGTTTTGTACCCATTGGCCGAACGTATGGCACAATTGATGATCCATCAGCTATAATTCATGCACCAGCTGCATCTTATAAGGTCGTAGGTCGAGATTTTTACCTAAAATTTTCCCAGATAGTGAAGTGAAGGAAATTTCGAAAAAATATATCTACATATATATGTATGTAAGTACATATTTTAGCGCGGATTAATCAAATTTCAAAAAAAAAAAAATTTTGAGCATATTCGAATTCAAAGCAAAAATAGTGAACA